AGAGACAAGGTCTCACTTTGTTGCCTAGGCTGGCCTCGAACTCCTGGTCTCAAGCAGTCTCCTGGGCCTCCCAAAGTGCTAGGATTACAGGCATGAGCCTCCACACTTGGCTGAATTTAATGTGAGAAATTTTTTATATGGCTGTTGAAAGAGGAAAGGCCAGAAGTGGGTACTTAGGTAACCCAGAGATGACTGACTGCAGGAAAGAACTACTACCCCCGTCGGGGGATTGACAGGGAGAGGTGATTACCTGAGTTGCCTAATGTTGCATAGGAAATCACTTCTCCAGGCTGGGTGCGGTGGCTCACACCTGTAATCCCAGCACTTTGGGAGGCCAAGACGGGCGGATCACAAGATCAAGAGATCAAGACCATCCTGGCTATAATGGTGAAACCCCATCTCTACTAAAAATACAAAAAAAAAAATTAGCCTGGTGTGGTGGCACACACCTGTTGTCCCAGCTACTCCGGAGGCTGAGGCAGAAGAATTGCTTGAACCTGGGAGGCAAAGGTTGCGGTAAGCCAAGATCACGCCATTGCACTCCAGCCTGGTGACAGAGTGAAACTGTGTCACACACACACACAGAGGAAGTCACCTCTCAACTTGGTTGCTTAAAATAACAGTGATCGGCGGGGCCACAGCGTCATGCCTGTAATCTCAGCACTTTGGGAGGCCAAGGTGGGTGGATCACAAGATCAAGAGATCAAGACCGTCTGGCCAAGCTGGTGAAACCCTGTCTCTACCAGAAATACAAAACTTATCTGGGCATGGTGGTGGACACCTGTAATCCCAGCTACTCTGGAGGGTGAGGCAGGAGAATCACTTGAACGCAGGAGGCGAAGGTTTCGGTGAGCCGAGATCACGCCACTGCACTCCAGCCTGGGCAATAAGAGTAAAACTCCATCTCAAAAATAAATAAATAATAAGCAAATAAATAATTAAAAATAAGGCCAGGCACAATGGCTCACGCCTGTAATCCCAGCAGTTTGGCAGGCCGAGGCAGGCAGATCACCTGTGGTCGGGAGCTCAAGACCAGCCTGACCAACATGGAGAAACCCCGTCTCTAATAAAAACACAGAAAAATAACCTGGGCATGGTGGCGCATGCCTGTAATCCCAGCTACTGGGGAGGCTGAGGCAGGAGAATTGCATGAACCCGGGAAGTGGAGGTTTCGGTGAGCCGAGATTATGCCTTTGCACTACAGCCTGGACAAGAGCGAAACTCCGCCAAAAAATAAAATGTAAGTAAACAGTGATCACTCTGTTTGTCAAGAATTGGGAGTCCTTTGGGTGGGGGACTGTGATGTAGGGGTCTCTCCTGGGGCTGCAGTCCTTTGAGGGTGTAACGGGCTGAGGGTCCCTTCCAGGAACCCTCCTATGTGGCTCACTCACGTGGCGAGCAGTTTGATGCCAGCGGTTGATTCTGCAGAGCAAAATGGGCTTGAGCCAATGAGCTGCAAGCCAATACTATGACACCAAGCTTTTATTATTATTATTATTATTATTATTATTATTTTGAGACAGGATCTCATTCAGTCACCCAGGCTGAAGTGCGGTGGCTCAATCTTGGCTCACTGCAACCTCCGTCTCCCAGATTCAAGCAATTTTCCTGCCTCAGCCTCCTGAGTGGCTGGGATTACAGATGTGCGCCACCATGCCCAACTAATTTTTGTGTCCTTAATAGAGACGGGGTTTCACTATGTTGGCCAGGCTGGTCTTGAACTCCTGACCTCAAGTGATTCACCCAGCTCGGCCTCCCAAACTGCTGGGATGACAGGCATGAGCAACCACACCTGGCCATTTTTTTTGTTTTTAGAGGTGGGGTCTCACTATGTTGTCCCAGCTGGCCTTGAACTCCAAGCCTCAAATGATCCTCCTGCCTTGACCTCCCAAGGTGCTAGGATTACAGGCATGAGCCACCACGCCCAGCTGACACCAGGTTTTTGAGAACAGAAAAGCTTTATTGCAAGTCAACCAATAAGGAGACAGAAGTCTAGCTCAAATCTCTCCCTGTGCCAGCTTTACGGCAGTAATTTTATTAGGAAAGGTTTAGGGGGTGGATTCTGAGATTAGGTGATTGATGGAAGGAAAGGGAGGCCTGG